GTTTGATCAGCTGCCCGGGCTCAACAGGAGCAACTGGTTGGCTATTTAAAGTGTCATTCCACCCAAAAATGACATTACAGTGCTTGCCAGAGGCTGGAATGTTAAACGCCTTAAAGGTTTCCTATATCTTTGGAGAATCTAGTGGGCAGATCTCTGCATTTGGGTCTCTAGATCTGCATACATGCTGTGACCATTTAAGGGGTTCCCTTTAATGTTTTATTCATTATGGATAATACAGCAGGTGGATTGGGATCACCCCACAGTGAGTGGGAATACCTAAACTTCCAAGCCTGGTGTAAGCAGGGCTGTACTAGGGTCATCAAGAGCCATCAGGTTACTCAACACAACCAGAATTCAGTGATAACTGCATCGCCAGTTCTGAATGCACTGTCCGCCTTGCCCAACCACCCCCCCTCCCCCCCAAAAAAACCTGTCAGTAAAGAGGTGCCCCCAAAATATCCTTTAAGGCAGGCAGTTTGATACAGTGACATGGTCCCTTGTGCCCCTACACTTTGGATATGACCAAACATAGGGGACACATGGGAAGCCTCTGGTAATTTGGGAACTCCTGCTTGTTGTGAAAATTAGGAATTTCTAAATATGCCCATTGAAGGCGCTTTGCTGCCTCTTACAACTTGATGCAAACAAAATTTTCAGTACTCAGAGGTTTCTCACAGCCACCAATGACAGTCAAACCTGCCATGGAAATACAAATTGAATTTGTGACCCAGCAGACAGAGAGGAAGGAAGTTACAGAATATAAACTGCAGGAAGTAGACCTGCCCACCCAACGGCAAAAGAGCTCTCAGGAATATCGCTGTGATGGATTACACAGAATTGAGATTATGGGAAACTGAGGGGACTGAGTGGCAAACATAGTGGCAGTGTTTGCTAGATGGAATACTGCCTGAACCTGCTTTTTAAATCAGTACGGTAAATATGCAAGGGTCTAGAGCAGAGAGACCCCCATCTGTACGCAGTAGAAAGAGGAGACAAGCTCATGTTTATCTACAGTCTTTCTGGAAGCAGACACCCTTTTTAATAAACACACATTGAAATTCCAGTTGGCCAGGGTTGACAGCTTGCAGAGTGGCATTTTCTTAAGCACTGAGGGGATATGGCCATGTTTTTTCAACTGCCTTTCTGGAAGTAGAAACCCTCTTTAATAACATTGGAATGCCGATTGGCCAGGGATGCCAGCTTGCAGTGTGGCATTTGCTTTAGTGCTGAACAAAGAACAATGGCTGTTGTGCAAGTGGCATGGACCCAGCAGATGATGTCAACTACACACTTGGTTTAAAAAAAAAAACCCACAAGCAAAATACATGGCGTGAGAAACATTATGGGAATATGATGACATGAACAGTTCTGACAAAGCAACTTAATTGATAAGGCAAAGTAGAAATTGTTGTATGGGTGAGTGCTGTGTGTTGAGCTGTGCCCCTATGCAACGGGCACACTTAGCACAATACACACAGGATCAAATATCCTGAATGCAGGCCTGCCTAACTCTTATCTGCCCCCATCTCAATGAGCCTCAGTGAACACTGCATAATCCTTTATCTCAACAAAGTCAGACTTTTTCCTGCTCATTCACTCATCCCCAGCATGGGAGAAAGTGGAACTGAGTGCCAGAGTGGTGACTGATGGCTGGAAACCCAAGCCGTGCTTTAAATCCCTCTTTTCCGGGACCCCTGCAGAGCTGGGTAGCAGAGGTCAGGTCTAGATAAGGGAGGCCCTGGATACAAGTGTACACGATGCTTATGTTCTTGTGTGCGGTGAAAGAATGATTGCCCTTGAAGCTTGTGAGCCATGGAGCAGACACTCAGAAGTTTTTACCTAGGTATTATCCAGGACTACCCCAGTTTTATTCCTGTGCACACCAGTGTTCTGTCAGCCCTGATTTATACATGTGCAACCAAAGTCAATGTACAGTTTCCATTTTTGCATCCTGCATATTTGGTGCATTAAAAGGACACTTGACAATGAACTTTGGACTTACTCTCGTGCAAAAATGACACTTCCTTACATGATTTTACAACTGAAAAGTTTGCGGTCCCGGTCTGCATGCTTATTGAAGCTCTTAGATCAGCATGACAGGCAGGCTACTAGCATTTCCAAAAAAGATAGCTCAACAGTGGCAGGACTGGTTTCTTTGACATTTCTACCTCCTTTCCGTGCATTGTAATTACAGTTCATATGCAATTCTGTGTCAGACACCCCCAAACATTTTGTGTATGCCCCTCATCTATATCATGCAACCTACACCTCAGTTAATGTAGAGCAGAATAAGAGAAGTAGCTGTTGCATTGTAGGAGGTGGCTTTTTACTGGTTAATTTCTGCTTTGCGGTGAGGAGAAATGGCCACTGGTCCTAGTTTTTTGGATTTCTGCACTGTTGGAGTAATCAAACAGTTTTTACACAGCGAAGTTTGTGCATGTTCGGGTTGACTCATGTCCATGCAATTAAATTATTACTCATTTTTTCCTTTCAAGTTTTAGTCCCAAATGAGTAATACTTGAAAAAACTAATGGTGAACGTATGTGATATTAGGAAGGAAATGTTTAATCTGAAATTATCACCATTTAATGACCCACACCAAATAGCCGTCAAGCTTTCAGGGTTCCGACTGGTGAAAGATAAGGTCAGATTCATTGGCAACATGGCAGTGGCCAGCATTGCAGCTTTGTGACAATGGAGTCTTGGGTTTAATTCTCCTAAAGCTATCAGCATGGCATCTATAGGTTTTCCCACCAGCCAAAAAAACCAATGGTAGATTAACTGGCTTCATACTGAACTGGCTGTGGAATGCATATGCGTGTATATTAGATCGTAAGCTCATCTGGGGTAGGGATTGATGTGAATAGCTCTATACTATACAAAGTCACATGTACAATGAAAGGATGGCTGTGTCCCTATTGGTCATAATCATGCATTTGTTCAGGGCTCGAGCCAAAGTGTTCTTCAAGAGATGAAGATGCGTCACAAGCTGCACTACACCAACATTTCACTGTGATTTTTTTCCATTGCATAGTACAGGGGTTCTTATATTATCTATGGTGGAAGAACAAATGGCTGTATACATTTTTTTAAGTCGGTCATTTTTTTGGTGTAGCGACATTGTCAAGTGCTGTTTGTGATTTGGCCCTAAATGATCCAGTTTTATCAAATGAAGCAGAAATCAGTGGTAAACCTAGAAGGTATTGAAGAGACCTGCAGATTATGCACCACTAAGGTTCACGTTATGGGCAGTCACGTTATAGGTTACTTCAAGGGCACATAGAAAACTGTGGTTTTCTGTGTACCTCATTCACACAACAATGCTGTGGAGATGTGTGTTGCAGTGACTTGCATTAAAATGCAGCATGTATAAATTTTACCACAGCAAAACGCACATTACAGTAAGCATGTAAATGCAATGAACCACAACTAAAGAAAAAAATTTGTAATTGTGTTAACCCTTCCAAGAAATAGGCCTGAAGAATGCACAGCAGGTGACATTAAAATGCATGGACCAAAATATAAATCCCCTTACTAGGACATTGTAAAGTCCTAGTTTATTTCATTGTGATCATGTGTAGCCACACATTTAAAAAAACAAAGAATACTAGACAGGGCTTTCCAATTAACCCTCCCATGGTTAACTGGGCATCCAGGAGCTTTTCATTGTATCAAAAAATACTACCAAGAGAAATTTGGAATCCAGCAGCTATATTAGGCTCGCTAGCTCTCATCAATGCAAAATATGCATGACAAAACACTGCCATTAGAGTACTATTGTCTGCATTAATCTGGCCACACAACGCAGTGGAATGTTACTATGTAGATGAATTGTATAGAAATTCTAGTGTATGTTTAGGGGAGGTCACCTAATATCCATTCAATACAAATTGGGTGAGGTTGTATGAAACAGGGATTGGATAATTGTTTTAATATAGCAGGCACACATCCATTAGTGAGAGGTATTGTGTGTAGAATGGGGCAGGGATTACAGTCTCTTAGAGTCACCATAAGATTGTACATTTTCAGTGTATGGGGGTATTCCATGGAAATAATATAAAAAATATTGATAGGATAAAAACATTTTTGCATGCGTGCCTGGAGTTCCTGCTTTTTGTGCATGGTAAAATGCAGTGGCTGAAGCTTGCACTAAGCCTGCGGGCACAGGGAAAACTGGTAAAAAGTATTGCTCCTGGTTCCCATAGCAACACTGGCATCCTGCAGAGTATAGTATGATTAGATGTGTACCATTCAGGCTCTGGATGGTAGATCATCATGGAAACTGCCCTCTCTAGTCCTAAATCTGACTCCCAGTCTTCTGCATTTACAAGGACCCGTCCAAAGGTCTTGGCTCTTGGAAGGGCATCTAACAATGTTCCTGCTTATCTACCTGCACATGTATATACCCCCACTATGATGTACATTCCATTAAAATATGATTTAAAATATTACTTTCAGTAACAATAAAGTCAGAGTAGTTCTAATAATGATGCGTTATGATAAGTGTTGAATCTACAATGAAAAAAAAAACGGATTTTATTATTCAGCAAATTCATGACAGTTGGTAATTGCAATGGTCTCAGAGTTTTATCTGATTAAGGGGTTTCCTGTAATTACCAGATAAGTTTTTTCCCCATGTACTATACCCAAAATAAGTTTTACTCCAGAGTTTCTCACACTCCCTCTGTGCACGGCTATTGTACTTCAGTATTTTAGCAGTGCTCCTCACAGTAACTGCATTTTATATCTAGCAATTAGTTTTTCTTTTGTTTTCAAAACATTCAGAAATGCCAACAGTTTTTATTTAAAAATGTCAAATTATGTTATTTTTTTATTCTTAAACATAAATAATAATAATAATATAGTACAGCATGACAGTAGATGATGTGGCTATATAAATACGTCTAATGATATTAATAGTAAGTGCTACAGAAGTTGATGGCACTATTTAAATCACTTTCTAATAAAAATAATACTAGGATGCACAGTGACAGGCTTACCCTTTCCTATCTCGTTTCTGAAGCACAGGTCCTCTTTGATCAGCTATTCTCCAAAGCTGGCATCCTCTCCTCAGAGCTGCCTAGTTAAAGTTATTCAGAACTTCCCGTCAACTTTTCTTGCCAGCATGTGAAAAAAAGTGAAATGGAACAGACGCAGCTTCTTTAACGCCTTAGAAGTTACTTTGTAGCAGCGCCTTGCTGTGATCGCCTATTTCATTGTTTGCTGATTGTATGTCCCTGCGGCTGATAGCAGGAGGTTACCTGCTGCCTAGAGGAGAGTTTTGTCCCATCCCAACCCGGAGCCCTGAGCACATCACTGTCTACAGCCTTATTTGAACTTCAGCTCCTCTGGCTCTTTTGTGGTGGAATGACATGCTGGAAAGACTAGGAAAAAAAAATAGTTGTACCCAGCATGTAAAGAGCAGCAGAGTCTCTGGTTGGACAGTAGTTTGCTTCCACTCCCACACATGTGAGAGAGCAGCCAGGAGGACAGGACACACGAGCCCCCCCAGACCCCCCTTCTCTTCCCTCCTGACCACAAACATTGGAGAGTCCTGAAAGCGGTGATGTCATGCCTCTCAGTGAAAACTAATTTGTCATGCCCAAACTCCACCTCTCCTTCTCTTGCCTGGCAGTTCCATCCAGACACTTATCTATAGACCTGTACGAGTGAAAAATGTACAGGAGCAGTGAAAGAAGCTGCAAGACGCCTAATAAATCAAACCCTAAGGTTTTATTTGTGTCTGAAATGTTCCACGGCCAAAACGTAACTGTTTCTTATTAATATGAGATTCTGGGGAGAACTTTCACTGGGTTCTCAAGTCTTCATACCTGTTGTTTCCATAATAGGGGGATCACACCATCCCTGCTGGATTTGTAATTTATTTAATATGATGTAGGATGTGGTAGAGGAGTTAGAACACCGCAAGGTGGGTGGAAGGATAGTCTGGAACTATGGCAGGAAACTGTTGTGAGAATGATATGAGGCACCTACTGCCCCCCTCTCATTCTCAATGCTGCTATAAAGCCTTATTAGACCATCATCTCTAGTAATATCTTCTAGTGCAGTAGCATGCACAGAGTGCCCAAACTCCATCTCATTTAGATCCTGTGCTCACCCATTCTCGCCCCTTACATATGCATGCATCACATGTTAAAACCACGTCCCTTTTGTCTACCCCACACTGAATTGCGTACGTTTACGTGGGAGAAACAGCAATGTTTATATTTAGCTGAAATGCAATATTGCACCAAATCCTTGTGTAATAAATGCTAGGTTTAAATGTGACTTTATAAAGTGTGCACCTTTCCTTCCCCACGCATAGGCTCACTTTTCCTTCATAATGTGTGCAGCTGCCTTGTACTTCAAACATCTGTCCAAACAGTACATCTCTATGTACAGACGCACGCATTTCACATGATAAAAGTGAGAACAAAACAGACATGCACATGGTTAAGGAAACTGGCAGCCAGTTAAGTACACCAATGAAATACATTTGTGGCTGGTTTCATTGTCAAAGGATTTGTATTTCTACCACCTAGTTCTGAGTTTTACATAGCCCTGCCAGACAATATAGCCAGCCGGGTGACCTGATTTTTCTCTGCTGCAGTCAAGCAACCCAGCTAGGTCACCTTCCTAGCCCCAGCCTCAGCCTGGGATTGGACAGTGAGGGAGCAGCAGCAAACTGAAGAAATCACCTCTCTGCTCTTGCTTCTTTTCAACACGTGCATGCAGCATAGTTGGTTAGTTACAATTGCTGCCTTTCCATTGAAATTACAATAAACTGAATTAACCTGAATATCCCAATTAACACACAGTGTGTATATTGATTTAGCACAATACGACTTGACCCTTAAACTGAATAATCCCACTCAAGTGCCTCTCAAGATGGTGGAGCTTTAGGTGACCCGTTAGTGTGAGAGATGCTCAGAAAACTATGCCTATATATTTATTATTTCAGTATACACCAGCTGCCTTTTGCATTACTGAACCTGCACTTGTCCTTGATGGGCAAGTTTTTCACAAGTTTCATTAGTCCATTTTAGGCCTTTGAGGATGTCATTTTCAACTTCCCCTAATGTGCATTTAATCCCCCAGTAATGCTTGCTCGGAATCTGTTTTTGAAGTCTGCTTGTGGATCCTTTCTTAAAACAAACTATGATTGCCCTTTCTCAACAACACTTGTAAACAATAAAGGAGGAAAGTCGTAATTGCCCACTCGGGATTGGAAAGCCGAATTAGACACTAAAGTGAGAGAGGGTTGGTTTGTCTTCGTTTAAAATTGTTTGCTTGGAAAGTGGAAATTCCTCCAGCAAGCAATTGCCAAAATTATTTCTGCGGAAACTTGCTAAATGTCGTATAATTATGTGCAGCATTGTATCAGCATGACGTCCATGAGTTTACTGACTGTGACCCTGAATAATAATAATTTTATTAATAGTAATATTTTATTATCATTATTAATATTATTATATGCAAACAGTAAAAGTGGAATTGCCGCCGGGTGATGGACTTACACTGCAAGCCATAAATAACAGATGGCTTGTGTAGCATCCTGCTCATGTCTGTCACTGGAGGGTGCACATTGAGGGGATTTTCAGGAAAAAAAATTTAAACTTATCTTAATAAGAGATAGTTGGCAGTTGGGTAATTAGGAACACCCAATCTCCCAGGCATGTAGGGTCTAATCCAAGAACAATGGTTGAAATATCTCTCTTGGGAATGTAAAACTAGGGTTTATTCCAGCCCCCCAGGCTCCACCTTTACTGGAAACAACAGTGACATTTTACTTTAAAAGAGAACTATGGGGTAAGTGTTTTCCCCATAGTTCTCGTTAGGGCCACGCAAGGACATATACTAATCTCCTCCCTTGACCCAAAGCTATTGCCCGCGATATACTGAGAGCGCCGCAGCCGGGATGGATCCTGTCCGTTCCTCCACTCAGCGCTGGAGGATCGGAGAGGGGAGGGGGGAATCCCTGCAGGGAGTGGTGACTGACAGTCACTGCTCTCTGCAGGGAGACGATCGGGAAGTGAGTGAGCGGCAGTATGTGTTTGCTCACTTCCTGATCGATAGAGCCGACCTGTGACAGCTTCTTTGTCACAGGTCGGCTCTAACTATGAGGATGAGTGAAAATCACTCACCTCATAGTTCTCCTTTTAAGGCTAAGTCTGCATGGGCTAATAAATCTTATTCACACATGACACTTTTGCTAAACTGCTCGGACTGTATTTAAATATGGTGAAAAATTATAAATGGAGGCATGTGAAAAAAATACAAATAAATCAAATACCAAATACCATTATTATGGCCACTATCCACCTACAGTTACAATAATGCAATATTTTTCAATATAGTGGGGCTTTAAATCCATTTTCTATAGAGTGGGCAAGAGTTAAAGTGACATTAAACCCTAAGATTTTTTTAACATAAACCAATACTGTAATGTGTGCCTTACTGTAATCCATGGTTGTTTCCCTTCTCTTTGCTGCTCTTCCTTTTAAATCTGTATCTGCTCTCATGCTGGGCAGAACTTCTTTTTTGCAGCAGACTGCCTTGTCTCAGGAATGGATACACGGTGTCTGTGTGTAGGTTTGTATAGGTTTGTAACCTGAGCCAGCACTACAGGAAGAGGCCCTGAGCTGCAAAGGGAAGTTCTCCCCAAGCATGAGAAGACATGAGGATTTAAAAGGAAGAGCAGCAAAGAGAAGGGAAACTACCATGGATTACAGTAAGGCACACATTACAGTATTGATTTATGTTAAAAAATCTGAGGGTTTAATGTCACTTTAAAGAGGAACTTCAATCTGGAAGCTGTACCCAAAGAAGGCACTGGAATTGTCACCTGTATTGCCTATGGCCCCCCTGCAGCTGATTTGTTTCATTACTGACTTGTTCTGCGCTGTGCTTCTATGTAGAGACAGCCATCTTGGTGGAGGCAGGGTTTTGCTTCCTCATGTCAGTCTCCAGCAAGGAGAACAGTGAGCAGCACAGTAGTGACATCACCAAATCTCACTTCCAAATCTCCTGACACTAGCAGTCAGGGGCAGCAGTACATTAGATGTCACACTGCAGATATACAGCTATGAGGCTGTAGGCACACTCACATGCCAAGAAATACACTGCTGTTTTTGTAGAAGAATTTATTGAAAAAAGAATCAAGAAGAAAAGGTAACATTTTTTAGGGCTCTGCTTAGGCACAATTTCTAAATGTTCTTTATAGCATAGAAAATCTTTGCTTTTTGATTTCAGTTTCACTTCAAAATTCCTGTCAGGTTTTTGTATCTGTCTGTGACTTCATTTCGAAGGTTTTCCCTCAGTTCCTGTCCCTGTGATACTTGTACAACAAATGGTAACAAACAATGGTAATATTACTCTTTTTATATACACATTTAAAAAGGAATTACACCTAAAATGCAGATTTTCTCAGAAATCTCATCGCACAGCCCTCAAAAAAAGAACCCAATTTGACAGGCATACACGACTGTAAACTAAGCTACAAATCCCCAGCAAAGCCAAATCAATATGTTAGTTTTGGCAAAAATCATGTTACCTGATAGGCGGCACAGATTAATTTTAAACATGGCTGACCGCTGCCAAATTTTCTGCACGCGCCACTGAAGCCATTAAGTCGGCTCCATCGAGTTAAGGAGTTTTTCTTCTTAATATAAACAGCAAATAAAGCCACACCTGTATTTAAATATATATATATATATTTGGTAGACAGGTGCTGACGGAAGCCAAACATCAGATGTCAGTGAACGAAGGCCCACAGTAGTAACGAATCCTTCACCTGGCTGCTTCACAAGCTCCCGGATTATAAGCGCCCATTATTCACGGTGCAGGCTACACAGGAGCAATTCATGAGTCGAGGAATCAGGCCGTTCCTGACAGACAGTTAATTGCTGAGTTTGTTTAGCGATTATCTGTGGTAATTATGTCTTCATCAGGCTTACGCAGGCTCTGAAAGACATGGAAAAATACATCCCCGTAAAACAGAGATTTACTAACAGCAACACAGCTCGGGCTGTGTGAGAGCGACACTACTATTTTAAACATGAGGGGAGTGCTTACTGTGAGGAAGATGCTTTCGCGGAGCAAGGATGTGATTATTTTATCGGTACAGCTGTTTAATATGGCAGTGGAGGGGAATGTCAAATGCCCATTGGGTCATTCAACGCGCAGTGTCTTACACAAAATAGCTTTTTTAACAAATTAGGAGCCATTGTAAATTGTATTTAAAGTAAATCTGTTCTGAGTGCAGCACTCCTGGCCTCATTCTGGAAAGACTAGTTTCCTGGCCCTTGTGCTGATCCTCTGTCTTTTATATTTTTTAAATCACAGACCTGGAATAGGTATGCAAATCAGGGAAGCTGGAGGAAGTCCCAAGTCAACTGCATGCTTGTAACAGGTCAGTTGGTCCATGTAGTAAAGGTCAGTAGCCGGACAAGTATTATTTTTAGGAGGGTTTAGTAATGGTTGTCTCCCTGCTACCCTCATGAAAGGTTACTCTTTGAAGTGACATTAAAGGAGAACTATGGGGTCAGGGCTTTTCCCCATAGTTCTCCTAAGGGTCATGGGAGAACACAAACTAGCGTTCT